CAAGGCTACTACAGGATCTGGGCCTGCGTCAGGGAAAATATTCACCAAAAGAAAAAAAACAGAAACTTTTCCAGTAAATTTCACCTTCCAAGATTCTTCTGGAAGAAACGGTTTCTTCCTGCTGGATAAAAACATGGAAAAATTGTGGAATAAACTACCATCCTGAAGAAACTTCCAACCCTGGTTTGAAACAATCACTGTTTAATGAAACGCTGCTGGAAGCTCTAAGAAAAAAGTTTTACTGCGGGGCAGACTGAAAGTGCTGCAGAGAAATTATCAAGCACTAAATCTGTTTGGTCTCCTTGAACCCCAGTCAGCCTCAGCAGATGGCCGCTCACACTGAGCCTGGTTCTGCTGGAGGTTTCTTCCTGTTAAAAGGGAGTTTTTCTCTCCACTGTTGCTGCATGCAGGCTCAGTATGAGGGATTGCTGAAGACTGAACGACAAAATGCAAGCCCTGCAAGCTCATCCAGGAGGAGCATGTCCTACATGTCAATGACTGGATGCAATCTACTGGTTTTCCTTGATAGAAACTTTTCATCTGACTGAATTATCTCTGTAAAGTGCTTTGAGATGACGTGTTGTGAATTGGTTCTATATGAATAAACTGAATTGAATGTAGAAGCAGAAGAACAATGAAGCTCCATGACACCAAGACAGAAGTCCAACTCAAGTCAATCAAGTCGTCTAAATAAAGAATCCTTAATATTAAAGTTCTCCAAACAGGTTTACCAAGAGGTTTTGGGAAAAAGAGGGAGAACGGTGGATTTGGTAACAACAAGCGGTAAGGGAAATCGTCTTTAAGGTTCTGAGAAAAGGAAAATGAAATGTTTGTTTCTTAATGGAGACAAAGTATTAACCTCATAAGTAACAGTTTATTGAAAAGATAATTAATGCCTAATTTGTAGAGTCCAGGCTACTGATGTATCAGCCAGAAGAGTTCAAAGCTTTTATTTAAAGCCTTTGAAGAGCAGATATTTCAAAATAATTTGAGGGAAGGGAGATGGATCCGACCATTTCATCCTGTCAGAGGTTGATAATCCAGGTCCAGACGGTTTAAAGCCACGACACAGATTAGTTAAAACCATTTGCATTTCCAGCCATACAGCCTGGACTAGGGACTAATCACCTTGTTAATAGGAAAGAAAACCTGAGAAGGTCCATAAAGTAAAAACTGAAGTAATAAACAAGCTTAACAGGTACGTATAACTGTGTGTCATCAGCATATAGGGTTATGGACTCTGTGATTCTAAAAGTATAATCATTTTAATTCAGTTTATTTACCTTAAAAATCTAAGTAAATGTTAAACAAAGGCGTTTGAAAAACAAGCAGGTCTAGTTCAGCCTGTGTGTTTGGGATTTATAGCAATTTACAATAAAGTTAACTAACTTAACAAAACCTTATACAGTATCTTTCAATTCAGTTTATCCCAATTAAAGAAAAGATTCAGTTTGATTTAAATATATTAAATATGATCGTAGGTGTGGTAGACCATTGATAAAATGTTTACACAAAGAAGCCACACTTTAAGTTGTTAACTCTGCAGCAATTCCTCCTGTGAAGTAAGCATAAGGCGACTAAGTGGAGTCCAATTCCCTTTGAAGGAGAGGGAACCTTCAGCAGAAAGCGGCTCAGATGGAGCGCCACAGGTACGTAAAGGAAGGGAGGAATTCAGGTCTTTTTCTTAAACATAAAGGCAGAAAACCGTGTTTCTGTTGTCTGGATTAGTCATTTCCTTCCCTTTAATTACAGGATGTCGAAAAAAAAAAAACTATAAAGAGGAGCAGAACCACAACAGGCCCTTATCAATAGGCGGATAAAGTATAAACATGGAGTAGTGGCTCATGTCTGTGTCACACAATAACTAACAACAATTACTGAGTATAAAATATGTTGATCAGTAGGTTATGAGTCTCCTTTAAACCAGTGACCTCAGGCTCAGACGGCAGGGGTCCGCCATGCTCGAGGAGGCAGCAGCAAATCACAGTGATCTGCTGCGTCAGGAAATTAAACAATTTCTAAAGCAGTCAACAACCCATTCTGCTGTATGTTACATCTTCACATCCATATAGTTTGTACTTAGTATTTTCCTATTTTTATCTGTTTTCCAGTTGAATTTTATTCCATCTGCCAGTTTCTCTGCCAATGCCCAGTGAAGTTTATCATTCTGAAACAGTGGACTTCCCTTATCCTTCTTCCTGCTTCCAAGTCATCTTAGACAGATTTTATTTGCCATTTTGTTTACACAAGTTTAAAACAAAAAGAAATTTAGTTTGGAACAGCTCTCTGGACAATTGCATCTTTTTTGAAAGTGCAGCCTTGAAAAGTAAAAAAAAAATAATAAAAATAAATATATTAGGGATGCACGATATAATCGGCCCCCTTCGGTATCGGCCTTAAAACTGAATATCGGACATCGGCCACCCCACCGATATTTAACCCGATATTTGATCAGCTTCTGAGTTTCTAAAGTCTAAAAAAAAAATAAAAAATACTACTACTTCTTCCTCAAAAACGTCTTTTTTACAGACTTAAAAACTTCTAAAGACGAGGGAAAAAATATTGATCCATTAAAATATCCCAATATCTTCATATGCTGATATATTGCCATTTAAAAACACCATATCAATCTCTTTTACTAATGAAATATTGCTATATGTCATCGTTATGCTACGAAATCCCCCGAAAATTCACCAAATGTTGCCATATTTTTATATGTTGATATATTGACGCGGTATAGATCTATTTTACTAACAAAATCTCACAAGAATTTGCAAAATATCACGAGAGTTTGTAACAGAACGATGAAATTTCACGAGATTTTGAAAGTAAAATAGATCGATACCGCGTTTTTAAAAATCAATTTGATATCAGCATATGAAAATATATTTGAGTATATTATTTTTCAAAGTGTCAGAAATGGATAACAAAACTGCTATTTTCAATGACTACTTATTTTTGTCCAGCTTTAACATCGGTATCGGATATCGGCCAAAATCCCAATATCATGCATCACTAATATACATATATATATATATGTACATTTTTAGTCTCCGGGGCAGACTAAAAATGGTGCAGAGAAATTATCAACACTAAATCTGTTTGGTCTCCTTGAACCCCAGTCGGCCTCAGCAGATGGCCGCTCACACTGAGCCTGGTTCTGCTGGAGGTTTCTTCCTGTTAAAAGGGAGTTTTTCCTCTCCACTGTCGCTACAAGCATGCTTAGCCTTTGAGTCAATGCAATTAGCTGGTTTTCCTTAGATAGAAAACTTTTAATCAATCTGATTGTATGATCTGGTTGAAATGTAAAGTTCCTTTAGATGACATGTTTGGTGAACTGGCGCTAAAGAAATAAACTGAATTGAATTAAGTAGGATAATAAAGTTGACCGTAGCAGATATTTCCCTGAACAGCGTGAGGATCAATCAGGGATCTGAAAACCCGGAAGTTCTGGCTGATTTATGTATAAAATGTCGTGTAAAAACATATGAAAGTTGTTCCTCAGGGTTTGGTTTAATAGAGCACTTGGGCCTGAATTTACTGACCTGAGGAAAGTTAGAGGAGTTTGCTGCATGATTGCAGGTTAAATGATTAGACATGATGTTCCAGTGAACTGCTGTCCTGGAAGAGGAACCGCTGCACGAACGTTTAGTTTCAGGTGTTCAATTAAAGCAAACAGGAAGAGGAAAATCACCAGGAGGTCCAGGATTATCCCACTGTGGCAGCTTTATGGTTCCTGGTTTTAGATCTTAGAAACATTAGTAAACAGTCTCATTAGAGTTAATAAGACTGTTTATCTATAGAAAATACATATATATTAACGTTAAATTAAGCTGTAGGTTAATGATCGTGTCTGTTCTGTGGTCATCCTGCTGCATCAGCTGAAGCTACAGAAAATGCAGGTTCTCCTTAATCCCATCTGGGTTTACGGTCTGCTGAGGAATCGGGTCAGGGTCTAAAGTCTGAATAAAATTCATTTTTTTATGAATCAGAGCTGATACAACTGGTCCAAACTCACCTCTAAATCTACAGCAGCTTTGATTTCAGTTTATGGAGCCATAATCTGGATCCTGATTAAAGATGTTTTTATCTCTTCAGTTAATGTTTAATCAACCAGAACCTGAGGAAGATGATTCTGCTCGTAAACATGGGATTAAGGTTCTGCTGATGGGTTCTGTATGAAGGAGGAAACGTTCATATGGCCTCAGTTTAAGCTTCACTAAATCAGTTTAATGTACATTAAGATGAAAACAGTAAATCTGACCCGGTTCTCCAGAACCCGGATGATCATTTCTAACCAAATTACTGAAGAGATATTCTGGTTCTGATCATTTTATTCTCAAACCAGCAGAACCAACATGGACTCTTGGATTTAAGGAGGAACATGTTCTGGTGCCAACAGGAAGGGGAAACCTGTGACTCATCAGAACTGGAGCAGAACCAGCAGGAGACCCGGAACATGACTCAGCAGTCTGGACTCAGGTTCTGACTCAGTCTCTGGACCACCACAGCTTCTTGTTTTTACCATTTTAGGAGAGAGGAAGGAAGGAGCTGCGGTTCTTCAGAGTCCAGATTTATTCTGGATCTCAGGAACCAGTTAAGCTCCGCCTCCTTCCTAAAACTTTTATCTTTTCTGAAGGTTTCAGTTCAATCTGAATAAATTGGACCTTTAATCCTTTGTCAGAAACCAGCTTCCTTCATGTTCGTCTCTCAGAAACCCAAATCCATCCCTTTTCAGTGACTCAGTTTAAAACTATTAGACCTGAACTTTCCCCCAGTTTCTCGCTCACTGGGAACAGAACCAGAACCTCGGGCCGGTCTTTCCAGGTCAGATGTTTCATGATGACACAGTGGGAACCACTCCAACTGGAGCCATCTGATCGGAAACCTTCCCGGCAGACCGGGTTCTGCTCCCACCGGATGACAGCAGGCTGAGGAATGAGGGAAGTTCTTCAGAACTGAACAGATAAACAAATGAAAACAGAACCTCTGGTCCGAAAACAGGAGAGGCTTTTATTTTGACATCCGTCTCTGCAGGGGAATATAAAAAGCAGAACCAACAGAGACGGCGGTTCTGTGAGGTCCACATAAATTAAACAGCATAATACTCATAAATAAAGATGGCAGCCCGGCTGCCGGCGGCGCTCAGATACGATCTGTTACTGCAGTTCTTCAGTCACTATGACTGATGGTTTACAAACGGTTTCCAACATGGAAACGGACCTAAATCAGGAGCGAACGCGTTACGGTAACGTCCTGAGCTGCTCCAGCCGCCGCCTCAGCTCTCTGCTCCTCTTCGTCAGCTCCTCCTTCCTCCTCAGCAGCTTCCTCTCCTCCTCCCTGACCGCCATGATGAACTCTGTCGCCCTCTTTAGAATCACCACCTTCGCCGCCTTCTCGTTGTGAGCCACCGCCGGGATCTGCTCCCTCAGGCCCAGGAAGCTCCGCCTCAGCTCGTGGCGGCGTTGCCGCTCTAAAACGTTATGAGTCCTGCGCCTGTCCTCGTCCTCCGCATCCGACCGTGGGCTCCAGCAGCGCCGCCCGCCACTGTGCCGCGATGGCGCCGGGCTCTCTGCCATCTTGGGCCGTTTCCGCGCAGGCTGTGCGGCGGCGTAGTTGTGCTGCTGGATGTTGATGTGGGAGCGCTTTAGGACCAGGGGGGAGACCTCAGGCCGCCGAGGCATCCTCTGCCTGTCCACCGTCACCACGTCAACCTCTTCATCCTCACCATCCTCTTCCTCTTCTAAAAACAAAAACGTTAAAATTAATGGATTTGCAGTAAAAACATTAAACATCACAGAAACACGACTTCCTGTTTCCTGGTTAAACGTTTTCCTGCTCCTCACCTGATTCGCTGTCGCTGCTGCTGAGCGGCGGCGTCTCCAGGCTCGGTTCTGACCCGACCTCCACCTCCGCTGCACCGAGCTGCTGCCTGCTGGCCGAGGCGAGGGGGAACACCACAGACGGGTCGATGCAGTTGGAAGCTGCAGCCTGGAGGTCCGGCAGGTACGGCGCGGTCTGATCCGCCTCGCCATCAGCGGCCCCACCTGTGGGGCTGCTGGGGTCCGAGGAGAGGCGGCGGGCCTGGAGAGACGCCAGCCGCTCTGACACCACCTTCTCCAGCGTGGTGGCCGCCACGAAGCTGCTGCTCCACATGCAGTCCTGGATGATGAAGGACTGGAGGAACGCGTTGCGGTCGTCATCCAGGAGTTCAGACACCGCCTCCAGGTGTTCCACGGCGGACAGCGAGGGGTCTGAGGGAGGAGGGGTCCGGCTGGGCGACAAGGGAGGAGTCGGGAGGAGCTCAAACTTCTTCCAGATGTCCTCACCTGGACCGGGGAGGAGCTGGCTGTGCGGAGGAGGGTAGAAGTCCTCCTCTTCGGCGCCGAGGAAGAAGCACGGCTGCATGGTGTCGTAGTCGTAGTTTGTTCTGGACGAAATCATCAGCGCCATCCTGGCAGCCTGAGGAGGAAACGACACCAGTTAAACACCACCAGACCCAGAATCCTGCCTTCTCTGGTTCTGCTGTTCTGGTTCTGGTTCCACAACCACTAAAACAGAACAGGGTGGAGGACATTTAACCTGCTGCTGGGAGATGCATTCACTGACCTGGAAAGCATGGGAATTCTAAGCTCTGAACCAGAAAACAAAATAAGCTATTTGAGGATCTGATGGGCTGACAGAACCGATTCAGAACCAAACACCGGCCCAAAACCAGGTCAGCACTAAACTTAATTTAGTTTAAAAAAATAATAAACTGTTAAAGTTGGAATAAAACAGAGATGCCGTTTGTGTTTAAGGAGAACAAACCAAACAGAACCATGTTTGGTGGAAAATAAATATTTAAGCTTATTTTGGCTCAACTGAACAGAAACCAAATAAATTAAGTTAGTTTCTCTCTAATAAATAACAGTGAAGCAGTTTGTTCATTAGGTTTAGGTCTTCATGTTTGCAGCTGGAATGTTCTGCAGGTTCTATTCAGGTTCTCTGGATAAGCTCTTTAATTAAAGTCCTCATAATGACGGAGGAAAGCTGGAAATCCTTCAGGCTTCCGTTACTTTGAATCAAACCAGATGTTCAGAACAGCAGCTGTTTTATTCTCTGGTTCAAAGCAAATAAATGAGAAAATAAAACCTTGTTTTTACTAAAACACAGCAGATAAATATTCCTATAAACAGAAGCATGAGCAGCTGCGGTGTTCAGCATCCAGACGTTTCATTTAAAGCTCTTCAACTTACGGCAAGTCGGAGGTCCAAAAGTTCAAAGGAGAAAATCCTCAGAGTTTAACCAGCAGAAGCTCGGAGTGTGAAAGAAGCGGCTTTTTATCCTGCTGATGATGCTCTCCGCTCCTCTGACTCTCTGACTCACCGCATCCACGCCAACTTCACGCATTTATCTCACCGCTCCGCTGACGTCACACGGTTCCCGCCACTTGCCTTCTACGTAATAACCTAAAAAGGAGTCCTTAGTTTGTTCCTGACCCGCTAAGAAACATCAACAGCAGCGGTTCCGACAGAGCAGCAGGACCGGACTCCTGGTTCGGATCGGAGTGGGTCAAAGGACGCAGTAGAAGCTGGGACTACTTTACTCCGCGGAGGAGCAGTTTGACATTTCACTGGTCCTCACTGACTGTAAATGATGTAACGGGAGAAAGTTCCGGGAAATCGAGATTATCCACTGATGATGTCATAAAAACAAGGACAAACAAACAAACAAACAAACAAAGACTGAAGGAAAACTGGGAAATAAGACAAAAGGAGTAATGAAAAAAAAAATCTAAAACATATATTTCACTGAAAAGTTCTATCTATCTATCTATCTATCTATCTATCTATCTATCTATCTATCTATCTATCTATCTATCTATCTATCTATCTATCTATCTATCTATC